GATCCCACTCTCATACCCCGATCAGCCTTAACATTATGACCACCTTCCTGTATAGGTCCCCCTTTTGCCGCCAAAGCAGTCCTGACCTGTTGAGCCATGGACTCCACTAGACCTCTGAAGGTGTGCTGTAGTATCTGGCACCAAATCCTTTAAGTACTGCCTCCATGGATTGGACTTGTTTGTCCAGCACATCCCAGAGATGCTCGATTGGATTGAGATCTGGGGAATTTGGAGGCCAAGTCAATGCTTTGACCTTTCTGCTTTTTGGCACGGCGCATTATCCTGCTGAAAGAGGCCACTTCCATCAGGGAATACCGTTTCCTTTAAAGAGTGTACATGGTCATGCAACAATGCTTAGGTAGGTGGTATGTGTCAAAGTAACATCCATCCATGAAAGGCAGGACCCAAGGTCTCCTAGCAGAACATCGTCCAAAGCATCACACTGCCTTCGCCGGCTTGCCTTATTCCTATAGTGCATCCTCCTGCCACGTGTTCCCCAGGTAACCAACACACACGCACCAGCAATCCACATGATGTAAAAGAAAGTGTGATTCATCAGACCAGGCCACCATCTTCCATTGCTTCAAGTTCCAGTGCTGATGCTCACATGCCCATTGTAGGCGCTTTCGACAGTGGACAGGGGTCAGCACGGGCACCCTGACAGCTTCATATGCAACACACTGCAATGCACTGTGTGTTCTGACACCTTTCTATCAGAACCAGCATGAACTTTTTCAGCAGAGCTACAGTAGCTTGTCTGTTGGGTCGGACCACACGGGCCAGCCTTTACTCTCCACGTGCATCAGTGAGCCTTGGTCACCCATGACCCTGTCTCCAGTTCTTTTCCTTCCTTGGACCACTTTTATAGGTACTGACCATGCCAGGACCGGGAGACAACCCCACAAGGCAGCTCGCACGTTTTTTTGGAGATGCTCTGACCCAGTCGTCTAGCCATCACAATTTGGTCCTTGTCAGTCGCTCAAATCCTCACGCTGCCTTTTTTTCCTGCTTCTAACACATCAACTTGAGGATAATCAGTGTTATTCACTTAGCTTGTCAGTGCTCATAATGTTATGGCTGATCAGTGTATATTCTGTTCTACAAGTATAACACAGGGTCACTTGTTTTCATTGTGTTTCTCTGTTGCTCTTCCTCATTCTTGTCTCTTGTTTGCTGGAAGCAGCTGGGTGCAGGCAGGCTTTGACACACAGAAACTTAAATAAGAAGAAGCAACTTGTTATTTGGTCTCTGTCCGACTTCCACACCCCACCCCTTCATCAGCTCATGATCCTTTTCCCAGGAGTCCATTTAGTTGTGTTTTACCAACTGTTTGCACTCCGCACCATTCACAACAGAAGCTTTATGGGACTTATTGCTTTGCTAATCCCATCCCCAAGCCTCCCTCTATGGATGATATGCTCGACTTGACACTAACTTACTGAATGTGGACTTCAGTCAAAGTCTATTATGATCATACCAGAGGGAGTTGTTGCTCAGAATTTGTTCTGCCTAAAGTATGAGATGGGATTTAAGAAAAGAGAAGACGTACACAGACTTAAATCTAAGCTATTTTTATCTTAATAGTCAAGCCTTTGGTCTAACAGATGTTTATTGAGGGTAAGGAGGAATGGTTAAGCATATACAGCAAGAACAAGCCTCACCAAGGTAATCACCATATGTGAAATACCTGTGAGAGTTAAAACTTATAATAAACTGAAGGTTCAAGACCTAAACCAAGGTGGTAGAATGTACTTTGCTGTTGGATGGAGGTCTTTAAATGTCATAACTAATGCCATTTCTATATTAACCTACTTAATGCCTGGCTTAACTTGTGAAGAGTAGCAGAATACAGAGAGACAGGGAGGACAGAGAGGAGGACAGTCGGACAGTCATAAGTTGTAGAGAGATGGAACTAGAGTAGGGACAAGACAATGTGAGAAGAAATCCCCTTGCCAGAAGTGTCCTGATGTTTGTGTGACTGCGGCGGTGGGATGCTCCCATAAAGAATGTGTAAGCTGATGGCGTCTGTCAGGCTCTAGCAGGCTGTTATCCAGCCATTAGATCAGATTTATCTTCATTCCCATTCGCTCGACGTCTGCCCTGAAAGCTCATTTGTCAAGGCCAGGCGGCGGGCTTCTCTCGCATCTATAACCCCCCCCCCCACGACACACACACACTCCACCTCACCACCACACGTCTGTGGGAGGATGTACTGGAAAATACAGTGTGACATGACAAGATAGGGGGACAGCGAGAGGGAGGGTGCAGGAGGGAGGAGTTTTGGGGGTAGAAACTGGCAGCCACTTAACTTGGCACTGAGAAATAATCCATGCATCGCCTTCGAGCAGCGCCACGCTTTGTGATTTATTGGCTGTTGTTTCAAATTTGGAGACACGCAGTGTCCTCATCCCTTTTTCTTCATGACCTTTTTTCTCCCCTCCCTTCCTTCCTTCCTTTGTCGACCCTTATTTCAGTCTGTCTTTCTTGGTACTGTGATATATTTCCAGGATTGGATGAGTGATCAAAAACAAAGACAAGTCATTGTAGTTTGGTACTGGTACATTCAATGGTAGAAACTGGCTTTCACAGGCAGATGTAACAGGGTTTTTGAGCATGTTTAGTTGTCTCATGATCGATAGAGATTTGTTATGTAAAATTTAAGGCTATCAAGCAAAGTTTTCATGTGGAGTTATTTTGTTTGTATTGGTTTGGGCATTGTTAAAATTAGGCTAAAGTTAGAGACATTGTTTGTCCTGCAGTTTCTTCATGTGTTACTGCAGCAGCTCCCCTGTTTTGGTGGTGAATACATATATTTTAATGACAAATAAATCCAAATAATTGAGGTCCATAACAGCTGTTGCACCCTGTACGTTTTTCTTACCTGTTATCTCTTTATGGTGCCAAATGGTAATCCTGGTCCTGATTGACTGACAACAGCATTCTTATGGCCATGAGCAGTAAAAGAGGGAAGTAACAAAGGAGGGAAGGACGGACGATGTAATGACTCAATCTGCGGATTGATTCGCTGGCTATGCCTTTAATGTGCTGTGCGTCTCTGCTAATTTCCCATTCCTTACTTCGCCTGTGATTGAGCACCGGCTTCTTACCTTGCTGTTTGGCAGCCAATGTTGGAAATTGAAAACACGCTCTGTCATTTGGATTAACAACAACAGGCCAAGGGAAACTGAAAGGCTCAAATCACAGGCAGGCAGCCTCCTAATTAACGCTGCTTGACAAATCCAACAGCTTGTAAATAAAGATGAATGGTAGCAGGAATTTAAAAGACTGCCAATGGGTTTATAATAAGTTTACAAGCCAGAGGAACTGCAGCACTGAGAATGAAGGGCAATCAAAGTAGGTAAAGAAAGAGACGTCAGTCATCCTGATGGCCTTCAATACAGCCCTCCCCTAAGGTGACATGAGGTAACAAGCCTGAGTTTTAATGAGGGACACCTACCTAAGTCTTCCATTCTTAATTTATCCTTTCTTTTATTTGTTCTTTCTTTCAAAATGTGATGACACACTACTTCAACACCTCCACACAGGATATGACTCTATTATCCAGGCTTTTCTAAGCCCCAGTCCTGTTTTTATCATGCCCTGATTCATCACCATTGTTCCCCCATTTTCTGCTGTTTTCAGAGATCTGAAATGGCCTCGGAGGCTGCGCGCTTTATCTTCTATCCACTCAACATCATTCTCCCCACCCCTAGGCACGCAAATTACTTCCAAATAAACAATGTCCCTAATTTATTTATATAATCTCTGGCTCATTCTGCCTTCCCCTCTGCAGTGACAGGAGAGGAAAGGCCGTCTCAACTCTAGGCCCCGCATCCAATTACGTCAGTAATTACTTGTCATAGCCACTTTCTTTCTATTTAGCTTCCTTATTCTGGTCCTTTGAAGAATTGGTTTGGGGGAAACATGATGTACAATGTATTATAAATGGTAACTTGACCAAAGGGAGAGCAAATGAGATCTCTGAGATGGATGCAGCCAGTTTAGTTATTACAGGAAGGTGATGCAGGTGAAAGTTTGGCCACTTGGTGGTACTGTTGCTCCATGGTTAGGTTGCAGCGATAGACAATTCTCATACTCACCTGAAATACCAATAGGAATTGCGCTGAATTCTTCATAGACACTCATTCAGGTCTTTTGTTTTTGCTCTTATGTAAAAAGAATGAGGTTTATCTGCTCATTATGTATTGAAAAGAGGAAGAACTTGCATTGTCTTGTAGCACAAGTGATACGGTGAAGGTCAAAACAAAGCTTAGACTCAGACCAAATAATAAAGTCTAATAGGATTTTTAGAGATACGGAGCCAGAACTGTGGCTGTACAGATTCACATGTTATGTCTGTAAAGTCTTATTAAACTCAGTCTGTGATTTTACTTGACTTCCAGCACTGCTGACTTATCCTTTCTCCTTTTGTGCTCCACATACATTCACGTTCTTGCTCATAAGGTGTCCTTGGTGTCTGGCAGAGGAGACGACAAAAAGGATGAGTGGCTGACAGAAGTGAGCCCTCTAACAGCTGTCGGGGTAGCCTTCTCCCCCTCACAGAGTACGGCAATAGATCCTCCAGGGCCCATCTCCTCTAAAGCATCTGATGGGGCCCAAACACTAAATCAGTATGAATATGTGAAAGGAGAAGAAGCAAAGCAAAAAAGGGGTGAATTTTGTCTTTATTATTAGTACTATAATCACTCCTCTTTCCTCCTCTCCCAACATCACAACGCTGTGGTGAGGGTGGCACCGCCGGACTGGCATCTGTATGACCAAGGGGAGTCACAGCAGGGGGGCGGCTCACCATCGCTTTGTCAGATTGCTTGCCTTTAGCTGGTATTTCCACTCCAGTGCAGGATAAATGGAAAATCAAGTCGCCAGGTGGGCAGCTGTGCCTGCCTGCCTGCCTTTAGGGAGTTATGGGAGTTATGAAGCATAAATATTCATGTCTATCTTCACTAGCTGTTGGCAGTCCATATTTTTGTTGACATATGGTAGATGGGTTGGAACTTGTAGCATGGAGTGTGGTTACTGAGGTGTGCATGTGTGTCTGGCTCTATCTGCGTGTTTGATGGAAGCGCGTGTTCTTCGGACACTGCGACACAGTCAGCCTGATGACCTTTTTACCTGTTTCTCAGGTGTCATATGTCTACTGTGAGTAGTGGTTTAATTGGTCCAACTGGACGCTAACTGAAGCACTTGTTATCATGCCAGCTCGATGTAATTGCTCTCTTCAGGCCGTGCCATATCATGGCCACCTGCCACATAGCAAGAACATACACAGGCTAGTATCATGTTAACAGGCACCTGGGGGAGGGGTGCATGGGGGGGGTGAGGAGTCTTTGCTAACAGAGCCACCTGCAATTAAGCACACTGTGGATATTAAACCCTTTAGAGAGAAATCCAGTACTGTAAATTGAGATTTGATGTGTTGAGACAAGACTATTGGACAGTATCTGTTTACTCATGCTCTTTGCATCCTGCAGGTGGCGTGTCTGATCCGGGTGCCCACAGAGGTGGTCAAACAGAGGACCCAGGCTTCTCCTTCATTCACCACCTACCACATGCTGCTGGCTACACTCAGGGAAGAGGTACACAGTAGTCAAAGGCACTTTCTACTAAAGGATAACTCTAGTTTATTACAACTTTTATATGTTTTTGTGGTTTTGCCCATCATTCCTATCGGTGATAATAACACTGTGCTCTCAAACTTAGTTGCTGAGATCTGGGAGTCCATTGACATCACTAAAAAGAAGAGCGTCGGGGCATGAAACACAAGCCCTCAGACAGGAAGATTTGAAACAAACCTAACCCAAAGACACAAAATACAAAAGGCCATGTCTGAAAGTGTTCGTACTTGTTCGGAAAGGCAACACTTAAAGGCGGGGTGAAAAGCCGGCTCTCACACAGAGATTAGGTGGGCATGAATGTTAGATTGTTTGTTTTGGAAAGCTACAGAAATCGCTGGACGCTGCTGCCCCAATTCCGATGTCGGAAAGGCTGTTAGGTTCAGAGGCTGTTAGACCATCCGACAAGTGCCTTGGTTGAAGGATACTGACATCTTAACCAAACCCAGCTATTAGCGGTAACGTTGACTAAAATCAAGGAGTAGGTAGAATGATAGAAATGAAGGCCAAATCTATGAAAATCTGTTGAAAAGTTGTAATAAAGTGGAATTCTTTTTTTTTTTTTTTATGTTTTAATTACATAAATTAATAATTTGAAAATGTCTCATCTGGTTGTTGTGAAATATCAAACTTGGTTACTTGTAAAATAATTACTTTGCCATACTTTCTTGAGTAAATATTGTTGACTTCTTAAAGGAAAATATTCCTCTGTTTACTGGATGAAATTAAAATCAAGCGTATGTCTATGATTCTAATAAATGTGTGAAATTGTTGTGTTATCTCTGAGCAGGGTGTCAGAGGCCTGTACCGAGGATACGGGAGTACGGTTCTCAGAGAGGTAGGATTCATTCAGTTTGTTTGTTTCTCTTTCACCTATTCATTCTTTTATGTCAGTTGGTCTTTCTGCCATCCACTAGTGGCAGTGAGCACAACCAATGCCTGTTCTAAAGCAGATCACACACTTGTTACGTCTGTCTTCGGTAAAGTTAAGTTTCATGCAACTGTGAAGCAAACCTGATCTAACAGATTCTATTGAAATCAATTTCAAGAGTTTATACTATAGACAATTACGGGACTCCTTGAACGCTGTGTAGTGAATTCTTTTTGATTGGCTGGACGAATATTGAGGCTCTCCACTCTTCTGACTAAAGACATTTTAATTTCTCTTGGGCTTTATTGAGGTTGGAAATATTGATTTACAGTTTTTTTCCCAGTTTCATCTCATTCACTTACTTGTGCAAGATGCTCTCCCTCCTATTAGAAGTACATCTGATTAATTAATGCAATTAGTTGCGTTATAAATGCAAAACAAAACGAGGATAAATGAGCGTTGGGCTGCACTCCCTTGATGGCCGCTCACCTTTTTGTAATGAAAAAGCCGTTCTAGTTGTTTGATTCATGATCTTCTGTTTAATTGCACCTGCAGTGCATGATAACACAAAATAATTAGAGCAAAAACTGAATAGATCTTTCACTTTAAGCCCCCTTCCCCCCAATAAGTTTCAATAGAACTGGAAAAGAAAATGAGAAAGGGAGGCAGAGAGGGAGAAAGAAGTATATGAAGGTGACACTTGTCTTTCCATCCTTTTTTTTTGGGAAGTGGGTGAGGGCGTAATCTAGTCCCCTCTGCATGTGCTAGCCTGTACTTATTTTCTGCCTCACTAAACTGATGTTATTCACGCAAATTCCATCTGGACAGCCGCGGAAAAAAGGACAACAAGACACTGTGATTTCTCCGAGGGGCTCTGAATAAATGAATACATTTGGAGGCTGGCGCACGGCCTGTGTGCATACTAACACTAGCAGATGAAACGCAACGGTGGCGGCAGGGATTTTGGGAGCGCAGGAACGGCAAGGGATGCTCCGCAGTGATTGGCTTTGACGTGTGTCAGGAAGGTAATTCATTTTCTCTCGGCCTCCTTGGTTATCTGCACATCTCCCTCCTTTGACCAAGCGACCCTGTCAAGATAAGTTTGTTTATGTGGTACGGCGTGGCGCCTCCCCACCCTTGCTGGCCCACTAATTGGGGTCCTCTCTGTGCTATATATTCATTAGGGTTCAGAAGGCATTTGTGATCAGCATGATATCACATTAGTGCAAGATGTGTGAGACTGGCCTGACCTGGACTTGGAAGGTGGAATGCAGGTGTGACTGATTTGGCGATCTGGTTCACATTGTAGCACCAATTTACATCCAGATCATCATACCTAGCAGGACAAGTTTCATACAGTTATGGTGGCTTTTACAAATCACATCCCAACAATGCCCAAACTTTATTTCTAAACCTTACCTGCACTATTGACTTATAGGCATTCAGTTATTATTATTTTTTGCTCCACATTAATCTTTGCTTTTGTCTACCCTCAATTTAAAAGAAACTAGTAAGTGCTGAGTTAGCACCTTTTGGGTTCCAGCTGAATAGAGCATTAAATCAATGAGATTCAGATTGTGGTGAATACAACTGTGTCGTGAAAAATGACTATTCAAAAAAAAGAAGCAAGGGTCTATTAATTAATATCAGCAAGACTTTGTTCATGATTTTAAGTTTGAGTATACCTGTTTTAAGTCCCAGATAAAAAGCTGTTTATGTTGTCTGGGTAATTTGTATTCGTTTTATGAAAATGCAATTAACCCAGACTGTGCTTATATTTAATCAAGACTCTACTTATATTTCATCATCTGGTGATGCCTGTCATTTTGGCAGGAATCCCTTAATTCGAGCTCTAACAGGCTTCTCCTTTTGGAAAATACCATATTTCACCATTAGATGGCATGCTAAGATTAGCACTGCTATAGATGTTTGTGCCTGACTTTCTCTCATTTCGCTCCTCTCTCCACTCCCTCCGTGCTCAACACCCCCCCCCCCCCNNNNCCCCCCCCCCTTCCTATCTCTGCTTCCCCATTACACCAATCCAGCTTTATGACATTTATGAGCAGCAGTCACTGCAGTGAAAATGATGACTTTTTTTTTTATGGAGAGCGCTTTATTTTTCCGATCTGAAGCGCTCTGAGGTGATCTCGGATTTGATCTAAACTGCTCCAATTTGAGATTGAGTAATGAGCCTGAGATGGCTTATTAGATAGTAATTTAGTAATGTGGTGGTATAGGGGCTGTGGAGGGATAGGTGTAAGTGAAGCTGACAGTGTCTGACACAGTCGACTGAAGAGCCTTGAACATTGTCTGGTTGACTATACGGCCACACTACACCTCATACTTTTTCACCTACTCAGTCTGAAAGCCACTTTATCCAAGTCAATTTTTTTCACATATTTAAGTGGGTAAGTACGCAAAAAAAGGAAGGTATTTGACCTGCCTAAGTGAGACCGAACAGTCTATCGATGAAAAATTTGTTTCTGTTCTTCCCTTTATCGGTGTTCTATATATTTTTCTTTAGCCAGCCTCTGAATCAGCCTTAAAGTTTCTCCACCCAAACAGCTGGGACCTGGCAAACCAAGGTACAGGATCTGGCACTAGGGCTTATGAAACACCTCTCCATCCAGGCTCCTCCACACCACACCTCTGCTTCCTCTTTATCCCTCTCTTCTGTCCCTGGTTGATCCCTTCTCTGCTTCCTCCATCAGGGGGTTTAGCTGTAAGGAAAGACTTGTTGATGTGGGTTTTAACTGATACCAACAGGACAAATTACATCACTCCAACTTTGGGATTTCTGGAGTACAGTTGTGTTTCAAAGCTGATTTTAAGGTTTTCAATCATCAGTTTCAAAGCATGTCTAGGGCTGACTGAGCTACAGATGGGTGACAAATTAAAGGAAAAACCAACATGAAATGTTTTGGTGTTGGGCCACCACAAGCCTCCTCCAAGTTTCTGGAACTGTACCGGAGGGATGAACAACTACATAGAACACCTAATAGAAAACATATTCCTTTATCATGTGGTGTTTTGATTATGGTGGAGTGCAATGTCCTTTACACTTCTGATTGTAAAGGCTACCATTAATTTTGATACCCTTCAAACTAGGGCTCTGACAATCGATTATTTTCATAATTTATTATTCTTTATCGATCAATTAATTGTTTGGTCTATAAAATGACAGAAAAAAATGTTTTGCCACATCAAACGTCCAAAATCCAAATATATTGTATTTAATATCATGGAAGACCAAGAAAACCAATTATTAAACAACGATTCAGTCATCAAAATAGATGCTGATTAATTGTCTGTCAATTGACTAGGGCTCCAACTAACTATCATTTTCATTATCTGTTCATAATTGTTGAGTATTTTCTCAATTAATCGTTTGACAATAGAAAATAGTTAAAAATGGCCACCACAATTAACTAAAACCCAAGGTTGACTAACAATCAAAAACACAAAGGTAGCTAATCTTCACATTTATAAAGCTGAATGCAATAAAGCATTAAGGCATTTGAACAATTATCAAAATAGTCGCAATCTTCTGTTGTTCGAACAGATTAATCGACTTTTCATTCCAGCTCACACTAGCCCCCCCTTTACCACACTCTCTCTTCGTCCTTGTGGGGCCCTTCTGCCCCTCAGGGTCCCAGTCGAACCTCCACTTCACTGTGTTTGATTTCCCTTGTTGTTTACCCCCCTGCTCAGCTTCAGTCATGCTGGATTCAGCTTTAGAAAGGGGACCTGTATGTTTGTGTGTATGGTATGTGCAATCACAACCATGCAATGACATCTCAGTTGTTGTGGTGTGTACATTGAGTTATGAGTCCATAGTGAGCAGTGAGGGAGTTCTGCTTACACTAGTGGGATGCTGAGGTTGAAACCGTATCAACAGGCATGCAGCAGAGCAGAGCCGAGCTGACCCCTGCGTGGCCCTTTTTTTGGAAAGTAGCCACTTTTCACTGTCTGTGACGCAGGTTCAAAAGGGAGAGGTGAGGGGAATCACTCTCATATCCTGTCTCTGTGCGCACTGATCCACAGAGGCTCGTGTTTATACACCCTCATATGACTAAGACACAGCAGAGGAGAGACAGAGCAGAAAGAGGGAAGAAAGACAGGCCAGGGGAAACAAAAAGTGTTTATTTTCCTCTATATGTAAAGGCAGGATTTGTGGGACATGTGTGCAGGCACGGAGGCTTCCTCCTGCTTTGTGCTTGAAGTTGGACCTTTTCAAAACGGCTCCGGTCTCCCAGAGCCAGACAGCAAAGCAACTTTTCTAAATGACTTCAACGCCTTAAAAAGCTTAACTGGATTAATGAAATGGAAAATGTCACTAGAAAAAAAGAGGAATTAAACTAAGGAAAATATTAAACTGTTATTAAAATGAACTATAATTCTTACCAGTGATTACTGTGTTCACTTAAATTGTGCCTTTTTCTTTTATTATTTTGGACTCTTTGTAAGAGCATTTTTTAATTTGTAGCTGTTTGCAGTTACACATGTATAGAAGAAGATTTGTATCAAGCAAGTACAATAAGTGACAGTGAAATGGAGGTTTCTATTGGTTTTAAAGATGGAGGTGAGTGTTTGAGCTACTGGTGCTACCTTATCTGTTTACACTGTGATCAATGAGTAGACCAAGAGTCCTGAGTAAAACTCTTGACCTCTTAAGATTTGACCCTTGACATGACTTGACCTATAGAAGGGTGTGTGTTTGTTTGACTGTTGGTGTGATATGGAGAAACAATAGAAGAGCGTCAGCTATGAAGGTGTTTTGGATGCATTGTCTGATGCAGGACATAGTTAGATCTGGCATTAAATTAGTGCACATACATGCTGACTCTTACAAACTCTTAACTGAGCCATACAGGCACACGCCTTCTTAAAATATTCTTATTGCTCTACTTTTTGAAGTTAAAAAACCTCTTTAAATCATCCATCCATTGCTTATTCCTATGCAAGGC